TCTCCCACGGCCTTGTCCGTGTCCCCCTTGGCCTGGCCTGGCCCCGCGCCGCTCCTGTCGCGATACAGTCACGAGAGCGCCGCGGGATCCATCCGGCTGCAGCAGGAAGGAGAATAAACAGGGGCTGGACGGGAGCCAGAGGGAGGTTGGATTGCAAAAGCAGAGCCGAGAGCTCAACTTGAAACTGAGTATTTCCTCTTCGTGTGTTTTCCGCTCTGGATTTCCCCCTGCGCCGGTTGCTGCCACAGAGAGTTGAGTGCTGAGGGAACAGACTCCTATGGGAAAAGCCCGAGCTCCTGTGGAAACGCTGGGCATTCCCAGCAGCCCTCCACTCATGTTAGCTCTCAGCAGGTGCTGAGCCAGGATGGGCTTTGCCGAAGAGGAAGTGTACAACTACATTATGAAAAACCTCAAGAATTTCAGGAACATCCGTGTGGCGTCGCTGACCGATTCCCTGAGCTGCCTCACTGATGCTGACAGAGTAAGTTCCTGCTTTCCCGAGTCCTGCCAGGCTCCTTCCAGAACAGATGAGGAGGCCACGAGAATGCTCAGGAGCTGGAGCAACTCCCGTATGGAGACAGGCTGAGAACATTGGGCTGTTCAGTCTGGAGAAGAGAAGCTGCGTGGAGACCTCAGAGCAGCTTCCAGTGTCTAAAAGGGGCTACAAGGATGCTGGGGAGGGACCTTCATCAGGGACTGTAGGGACAGGACAAGGGGAATGGCTTGAAACAGCCAGAGGGGAGATTGAGATGAGCACTTGTTTTTTTTAGGGTGCTGAGGTGCTGGCACAGGGTGCCCAGAGAAGCTGCCCCATCCCTGGCAGTGTTCAAGGCCAGGTTGGACACAGGGGCTTGGAGCAACCTGCTCTAGTGGAAGGTGTCCCTGCCCATGGCAGGGCTTGGAGCTGGAGGAGCTTTAAGCTCCCTTCCATCCCAAAGCATTCCATGATTCTATGATACAGCTCAGGTAACATATACCACCCTAGCTCTAAGCCAGCCCCTCTCTTAGCACCCTGTGTATGGTTTATTCAGGATGAGCTCCATGCCCGGGAGGAAGCACGGGGTAGCCAGGCCACTGTCTACAGGTTGTATCAGTACCTGAAGTGCCGGCAGGGCTGGGTGAGGGACCTCATCGAGGCGCTGCGCCAGAACAACGCCGGGGACCTGGCCAACGAGCTGCAGCACGTGTACGACTCCTGGCAACCCCGTAAGTAGCCCCAGTGTCCCTGGGGGCTGCCCCGGTTGTTTGGAGGACATGGGGATCCGAACCACATGTCCTGGTGTCTGATCTCTCCCTGCTTTGGCTTCCTGGGGGTGTCTGACTGTCCCCAGGGATGTCCCTTGCCCTGGTGATGTGGCTAAGGATGATGGGGTCCTTGTTTGAAGGTGTTTGGGTTGGTGGTGGTCTGGTTTCTCACCCTGGGGGGAGATTGAAGGATGAATGAAGGAGTGCTGTGAGCTTGGCAGATGCGGGGACACAGAAGGGCCATGTAAGGGGCTGCCTCAGCCCCACGCTCATCCTTTGCCTCCTTTGCTTTTCCCTCAGTGTCCATGCTCACAAACCACCTTGGCTCCTCCAGGTCCCCCTGCTCCCACCGCTGCCTCGTCCCCTCCTGCAGCCAGCAATGCCCGTCCCACTGTCACCTCCACCGCAGCCCAGACATTGTCTCCAGCTCCCAACCCTGCTCCAGGTGCCCCGTTGGCTGAGCAGCCACACCGAGACCTGCCCGGTGCTGCCACCACCACAAGCATGGACCTGGATGCCAGGACCCCAGTGCAGGAATCAGTAAGTGTGACCTGTCAGATGGGGGCAGAAGCTCTTCCCTGTGAGGGTGCTGAGGCGCTGGCACAGGGTGCCCAGAGAAGCTGTGGCTGCCCCATTCCTGGCAGTGTTCAGGCCAGGTTGGACACAGGGGCTTGGAGCAACCTGCTCTAGTGGAAGGTGTCCCTGCCCGTGGCAGGGGGTTGGAACTGGGGTTTGTGAGTTCCATCACAAACCATTCTATGATTTCCTTCCAGCTCCCCAAAATCCTGAAGCAAGAGACATCCCGGCCACCTCTGCCTGGGAGCACAGCCCATGATGGAGCGAGCACTGGGCACGGTGCCGAGGGACATCTCTCACTCCCCATCAAGGCCATGCAGGCACCAGCAGGGACCCCCGGGACAGGGAG